TTAATAATATTTCATAATTTATTGTTGTTATTTGTATTAAATAAATGCTAAAAAAAATTATTTTTATATAATAAAAATATTTTTATATAATTTTAAAAATATTTTTATATAATTTTATATATTTTTACATAATGCTCATCATGGTATTTATTTATGTTCATAATGGTCTTATTATTGAGTACAGCAAAATGAACAAGTTAGCATTAGCATGGTAAAACCATGATTCTTTTTGGTTGTGCTAGCGCTGCGGTGCTTGTCTGCATGCATGTGCAAAGTGTGTGACTTGAGTGTTATTTCGGCCCTCTTAGTCTCTACTCAGCAATCATCAGCTTAATTGAATTCGCAAGGCATTGAACAGAGAAAATGTAACTAGCATTTTGCCTGTATCAGCTGTCCAGATGATGAATGAGAAAGGAAGAAAGAGAGTGTGTGTGTGCACTGTACACCCATTCCACATATACTGCACATGTATATAAGGCTGTAGAGGAAAGACAAAGGAATTAAGGGAGGAGAAAAGCTGGAGAACTCTCTAACACAGCAAGGCCTTAACCTTCATGTCAGCCTAACTGGAATGAGTGACTTCACTGCATAAACACAAAGTCGATGGAAGGAGCGTTCTTGTTTAGACTATCTTGTTGAGCAGCACCCTCTCTCTCTCTCTCTCTCTCTCCCTCTGGCTGTGTACGACATTGTGATAGCCTTAGTATGTATGAGCTGGAATGCTCAACAATGCAGTTGGACACAGGAAGAGAAAAGGGGGTGGGTTTAAGGGTGAAGAAGAGGTTTAGCACATTTGTAACCTGATGCGTATAAAGGAGTTGCAGGGAGTGTCTGAATGCTTGAGATTGCTATCACTGTGGGATTGCGCTTTTTGTATGTTTGTGTGTGTGTAACCATATGCAATGCCATGAGAGTTGTGACTTAAATCTGAAGTACAAACACAGAACTGCGATAAAGATGAGCATATACAACAGAAACTGTTTTGAAGTGATATTGAAACCTCACGCTCTAGGGGCCGTATCTTCCCAATGCTTGTCAAAACATGAAAAGTGATTAACTTTGTATTGTAGGCTTGTATTTGAATGAGCAGGGTGGGGGGCTCCTCTATCTGTGTGCATTGTGTGTGAAAGAACTTGGGAAGGGTGTGTGTGTGTTTGTGTGTGTGTGTGTGTGTGTGTGCGCGCACTCTGTAACCTAAACTCTCCTGACTCCAGGTGCAAGTAGAGGATTAGAGTCCTCTTTCTCTCTTTCTGTTTGTGCCAGCATTGATATGAGACTGTTTTGTAGGTTATATGTAAATATGTTCACTGAATCTCTTTGAATAAAAGCTGGTGCAATTACTATTTTTTAATAACATTTTTACTTTCTTAAGAAGAAATGCCCATTAGAATAGTAATAGACTTTACCTAAATTTAGAGATCAGCTCTCAGCTGTTCGGATATGTGCTTCATAACGATAGATATCCTTTCCTTAAAAGCAGAGGGAAATGAAAGGTAAATAACACCCTTGTTGGAACCCTAAAGCTTGACATACATTTTTAACTTAAATCTGATTGGTTGATTGGAATACTGTTCCAGGATCAACAACGATGTTTATCCAGGGATATGTTTTAGTTGAAGAAAGGAGAAAAATAATGTTTTAATGAAAAAAAAGCCATTATTGACCTTTTTTCTTTTCTTTGTAGTCGGTCGAGAAACAAAGTTTACAAAAAAAACACATACTGATGAACACTTTTGAGTAAGAACTAATCCCCGGCAGTGTTAAGGGGTAATGCATTACAAGTAACTTAACCGAGTAATGTAATCAGATTACTTTTTTCAAGTAACTAATTAATACATTACTTTTAAATTTACAACAAAATATCTACAGTAAGTTACTTCAAATAAGTAATGTAAGGTACATCTCTTTTGTCTCCATGTTGAGAGAAATCGTAAGTGCGGCGATGTTGTGTGAAAACATGAGCATGTATTATTTACCCATCTCACTTGCACAAAAACAGATTCAGTGTTCCTCAAAATGAATAAAACGCTAACCTGCAAAAAATTAAATATGTTAAATTACACAAATATACTTTATGTATTAATTTATGTATTGATTAAAGGGATAGTTCACCCAAAAAATGAAAATTCTGTCATCATTTATTCACCCTCAAGTTGTTCCAAACCTGCATGAGTTTCTTTCTTCTGTTGAACACACACAAAAAAGATATTTTGACGAATGTTGGTAACCAAACAGTCGACGGTAGTCATTGATATAAAATATCTTACTTTGTGTTCAACGGAAAAAAGAAACCCATACAGGTTTGGAACAACATGAGGGTAAGTAAATGATGGCCGAGTTTTCATTTTTGGGTGAAATATACCTTTAACCAATGTCTTTGCTGCTGACCTTCAACGATCCAATTATACCCTATGAAGCAAAAATGACTTTAGATAAACATTACATTTGTTTTTCATTTGTAAAAAAAAGTCCCATTCTTCTTTAATCCAGAATTGCAACATAGATATTTGTTTGAGCTGCGCCCTCTGTACTGAATAGGTGTAAATGTGCATTTCCTTCAGCCTGAGGCTTATTCATTTAACTTTTGGTGAGGAAGGACCTTTACAAAAAAAATTGTGTGTGTGTGTGTGTGTGTGTGTTGTTATTAAAAAACAAGCAATCCCAGCCCAGCTTAGAAAAAGTAATGTAAGTAACACAATAATGTAACACTATTTGTTACATTCGTAGCAAATAAGTTACTTTTGTAGGGAGTAACACAATATTGTAATTCGTTACTTTTAAAAGTAACTTTCTACAACATTGATCTCTGGACCGTGCTGGGTAGATTACTTACAAATTGTTGTGGGTTACTGATTCCAAATTACATGACAAAAAAAGTAGTTAGTAACCTTATAAATTACATTACAAAATTAAGGTAATGTAGACTACTTTCTGATTACTTTTAGCTACTTTTTGACCCCGTTTACACCTGGTATTAAAATGCGATCTGTATCCAGATAAGTTATCCGGATAATAAAAAACGCATGTTAATGCAAGGTGTAAACGCGTTGTGATCGGATCGTGATCGGATCTGCCTGACCACATCTGGAGGTAGTCTGGCTCGCATTGTGTCCGGATCTTTACTAGGTGTAAACGCAATCTGGTTGTTGAAACCACATATGTATATTTTACTCCTCCCAAAAATGCTAAAAAATAAACGAGTGAGAGCGTGTTATATAGGCTATATGTCATGTTATAGCCTAGTCAGATGCGACACGCGACACGCATCACCGCAGATGAGCAGCTGAGCGTCTATTCAACGTGCAAACATCGCAAATAAAAGTGAAAGTAAGTCACAGACGCAGTTAACACATCTTTAAGTAAAGAAACGAAATTATCTTACCAGGCCTGTTGCCACTCTCTCTTATTGATGTCTCTGATTTGGAAATTAGCTGATGATCAATAAAATGCCGCTCAGATCTGTTGCTTTTGGTGGCGTGCAATCCAATAAATCTGCATAACGCAGGAGGTGAAGATCGGATTTATATCCGTTTTGCAAAAACACATTTATGTGGCCAGGTGTAAATGGAATCAGTACTTATTATCCGGATAACTTATCTGGATACAGATCGCATTTTAATACCAGGTGTAAACGGGGTCTTTCTCTAAATCGATCAGGATTGGAGCTGAACTTTGCAGGAAGGTAGATCTCCAGAAACAGGATTGAGTACCCCTGATCTAGCCTATTTATTTTATGATTCGATTGTTAAAGCAGCGCTTTGCAAGATTTCCGTTTTTGTCAAACTGTGACCCCTAGAGTCGCTGTGGAGTACTTGTACTGTCGTAAATAGCATTCATGCAGAGATGTCTCTGCACTCACGGCCTGATCCCCTCCCCCTGTATACCGGTACCTGTTCAGTCAGAAGCTGTAACGAGTGCAATAAGGTGTGGCCCCTTTAAGACCTGCGCCCTGTTGAACTGTCGGCAGTCTGTATTGTATGCGCCTCGAACACCGCATGTGTACGGCGCCGGATTATTTCTGTTTGATGTTTATTTTTATCAGATCTTTCCTGCCGTAAAGCAATTCATTACATCGCGAGACCTGATATCACGCGACACTTCCTGATACTGTGGCGAGACCAAGCGGCAACATTCTAATCTGAAAAATGAAGCCTACCCGGAAGTGCAAAAAACTGCAATACATCGAAAGTCCACTAGAGGCCGGTCCCAAAAGGGAGCAAATGTCCATATACCCCATGTTAAAATGTCTGTTTTCACAGACAACTGTGAGGGGGTGAATTTTTTTCAAACTCGTTAGTTTAGATCGTATTTAATGTATGACAAATAAGGGCGGTTAACTTTGATTGACAGCTGATAACGGGCTGCGCCGAGTAGAATTTGATGTCTCGGCCATGATCTGACACAACACATACCACCTCTGTATCCTTTCTGAACATTTGTATTTTGTATTTCCTAAGATTTTCCAGTATGGCGCCGCCCATACCCCCCATAAACAGCCTCAAACCCGTTCTTCAGAAAGTCTATGGGTGACGTAACAGACACTTTGTCCATATTTTTCACAGTCTATGGGCGAGACGCACAGCATTCGACCCGAAAATAGTCATATAACCAATGCAATAACTCTGAAGCTATTCAGTTAAGGTAAAAAAAAAAACTCCACAGAGCTGCTTTAAGTGACTCAAGCTATGATAACACACAAAAAGTCCAAGAGAATGATTTTTTATTTTATTTTATTATTTTTTTTGGTGGGCAGATTTAAAAGATTGGATTCACAGGGATGAATCAAAATCCCCAAGCACTATTGTAAAAAGCCCATACGCGTGTGAACTAGTGCACAGAGCCGCCAATCAGAATCGCTGTGGAGGGACGTAATGTCCCTTTAAATGCAGACGGCAAGTGGAACATCTGCGTCTCCTCCTCCTCTGTGACATCGCGCAGAGGAGCGTCCTATAGACGGGCTGACTCCGCCCACCAGTCAGGAAGATACAGAGCTCTCTGATCGTAAGTGGCCGTGTAGAGCGAGAGCTGATACAGACGTTTGTGTTATTAGTCCCTGTTCAAGAGAATCAACATGACTGGCGCTTGAACGGAATGTCAGATTAGCTTTCGTTTGGACACAATCCTCATTCCTTGTTGCTTATCGCGCACACAACTGGGCGATAGCACAGTTTCCAGACTTATATTAATCATATTTTAGTAGACTCCCAAATCAGGCTTTTCTTTGTAAGACAGTTTACACATACTGAAACAAAGTGGATTTAACAGTGGCTACGTGGTTTACCCGCACTCCAAGATGCTTCTGGTCTCCCAGCGGCTAGACTCACCTCGCATGGACCCATTAGTGAGTTTATGAGTTTCATATTATTGGATTGCTTTGAATGGTGGTTCGCAATAATGTTACGATCATTTGGTGTTTATTACTACTAAACCCCGTTTATGTGTGTCACTTTGTCAGTACGCGCACCTCGCATACATCCACACTGGCTTTTTACGCAGTAGTGCTTTTTAAACTGTAACACTCCTATTGTCATGCTTGAGGTCCACAGTGAAGTTTGGCAACTTGAGTGGAGAAATCCCATGGTTTTGTGTGATCGAGATAAGACAGACAGCGATTAGATGACAAGCTTGAAGGCTGCATCAAAGATTAACTGACGCTGTCTCAAGCATTACGCACACACTCCGAATAAGTTCCATTTAGCTATATTGATTTTACTAGTATTCTTTCGTTGAATTATAAAGTAGTCATAACCTGAAAGCTATTTTAACAAAAGAGATGGTTACTGGTAGCAACTGAGCTTAATAGGAGACTGTCTTTTAAATAAGTAGTCTAGTAAATATGCAATATACTAATAATAACAACTATGTATAATAAAATAAAACTACTATTTTTTTAGACGTTGCAGTTTGCCACTGTTAGCAATGGAATGGTTATTTGTCACGGCTGGGATAGGCTAGTGGTTAGCAAGCATAGGTAGTAGCTGGTGACTAATTGAATAGATTCTAGTCACTATAGGAATAAGAGGGCTACTTAGCTAATGAATAGATTAATTTGATTACTTTAAAAAAATGCACCCGTAACATACGAGATGCAAGTTAGTTGAAATGCTTTCCATAACTGCAATGAAAAACTGATTCAGAAAAATTAGCAGGTTAAGAAAGACTAGATGATCCTATCAGCGCAGTCATTTAAACGGGTTGCACCATTGCTTGCTTAATCGATGTATGCAAGGCAACTTGACGATTGATAAAACCTTTGTTTTCACACATACGGCTGAAGGCAACGTAGAGTCAGAGAGGTAAAAGCCCCTCACTGTTTAAGCAGCATGTGGTCTGCTTGTTGGAATGAAATGGCATTTATCAGACACTCAGCGGGGCTGCGCTCGCTAACAAAAGACTGAGGACTGGGGACTTGGACGAGAGCGCGCGGCTCCGTGGCTGCAGAGGCTTTGTAAATCATCTCAAAATGAGCGATAATGTGAGTTTTCACTGTCGGAATTGCGGCTCCGTTTAAGCCTAGTGTTTAACAGTTAATGTGGATTGCTGAGAGATGAGAGATAGAGAGACAGACGGTGGATGAAATGCGGGACAGGACTGACAGCGTGTCCAGGATTAAGCCGAGCTATAATAGCAGAATACGTAATGGGATAAAGGTGGCGGAGGGCTCGTATAAGAAATAAGAAAGACTATAGGCAGGCAGCATATATCACCGTTTATCATATAACGTTAAATAACCGCGAAGTGTCTAAATGTCTGTCTGTTTTAGAACACGCTTGAGATCCCTCGTAATTCCGTTTCTTGTCGATCAATAAACTATAAAGGAGAACGTTCAATGACGAGTCTGATTTACGCGCTGCTCCCCCTTCGCCTTCGCTTTGTCATGGATTTGCCCAAACACATTTCCGAAAGCTATTATTGTATTTCCACAGATACGGCATGTTTACCCCCGCTGGACAGTCCCAGGTTCTCGCTATCATAAGTTTCCCTTTAGTTCAACAGGGAGTTTCCTCGGATCGTTTTCTCTAACATTTAACAAGCAGATAAAATTGCAAAGGGTTAGGCTATTAATAAAATAATCCAAAGCAGTTGTGGGTTAGGCTACAATTAGCATAGATCAATAGTTTTCGAAGAATGTTAGCCCCCTTGACATGAGAGTCATTTATGGTCGATACATTTTCAGGTCCCGCCCACGTAACCCCGTTGTCCTCTTTATCCCATGGATTTCAATCGTTTGAAGTGGGTCATTAATTATTTGCCTATATAATATTATTACAAATAAATTATTAAAATAATATAAGCTACTATTTTAAAATTAATGTATTTTATACAATAGCCTAAATCATATTAATGCTAAAATTCTGCTCTCTTCTAAGTTCAGAAAAGTTGTGTCTCTGGAAACAAATATCATAGTTGTAGATTTCCCGCACCGGATCTTTCTGCTCCACTCGATTTGAACTGATCTGTGGCCAAATGAGTCAGTGCGCTTTGAAGCTGCTGTTGACGAATGAATAAAAGAGTCGGAGTGGAATGCGCGCGCTAGTCTTCAGATCTCGTGCACGCACAGAGCGGTTCACTGTAATGCGAGCACCGCTCGTGAATACACTTGGATCTCACCTCAAAGTTAGGCGAAAGTTTAAAACAACACATCCAACTTTTATCTTACCGACGTTCCTAGGATGAGATCACTGAGTCAAGGCTTGTGCGAAGGAATTTAACTCTGAGGGTTTTTTTTTTTCTTTGTAGAGAGCTGGTGTTTGTGAGTTCAAAAGCAGTCTTCAAAGAGCTAGACTCAGCACACCCTCATACCACAAACAATCGCTCTGTCATTTTCCCGCGCTAACTAAGAATCGTTCTCAGTTCATCACCTTGAGTGACTCGAGTCGTTTTGCCTTCGTGAGGAGACAAGGATGAAATTGATTTGCTGAGGGAGCCATATGGTGGATCGAGGATACAGATAAGGATTGGAGGGAGAGATAGAGATAGCAGGGTGTTGAAGTGATTCTGATGTAGACAAAGAAGAAGAGAGAAAGGTTGGACTGTCCTAGGTCAGGTGTTTTGTAGTGCTTGATGGACATTTCTTCCTCATTGTTTATGCTCAGAATGGACATAGGTAGCCTACCCGAGTCCTTGGAAGTTAAATCAATAATTAATAAACATAAAAATGCTTTACTTGTGTGCCCAACTCAATCTCATGAGAAAACAACGATTTTACGAGGCGGCAATGAATTTGTATGATGGGAATTGTACGAAAACATTCAACATTTTAGAAAAAAAAGTAAGCATGACCGACCCATAAACCTAACTGTCATTGGCAGTGGCATAGGATTGATTTTGAAATTAGTGAGGACGGAGACATTAATTTATAAATATATTTTAAGTTTTGATCAAAATTATTGCCAGGGATATCAGTGTCTATCAACCCTAACCCAACCGAAATTGAATTCGTACAAATGATCCACCAAATTGCCATAAGGGTTATTTTCTCAGTTTCACAGCATCTGATTAAAGGAGCATCTTCTTCCAGGATGCATTTAGCCACTATAGATGCACACCTAGTTTGTGGTCTATACACATACACCTTTTAATAAGCAGATACATAACTAATCAATCAAAGTGTCCACAGACCATGAATAAAAGACATACATCCTGTATTCATTCGTGGAGTTTCTTTTTCCTGCATTTTAGTCTATTCTATGCTTTTTTTAGACAAATTCAGAGAAATGCAGTCAGTTCCAGAGCAGTTCATTGGTATTGACTACTTGTAAAGAAAGGGAACTGAGAAAACGAGAACCAGAGGAAAAACTCATGTGAAGGGAAACCCTCATGTGTTTCTGCTATCTCTCTGGCTTCCCTGTTTAACGCCATAGCGAGAAGGACGGAGAGAGAGCAAGTTAAGGTGACGAGAGGAGAGAAAAACTGCGTCACTGTGATCAGGCAAGACCTCACCAGGAAATAACAGTGTTGCCTAGGGATGGAAAACAAACAGGAGCACTTAGAGAATATTTGGTTGAGTAATTCCTTTTCCTCTCTCCAACACTTTGCACAAAAACAAAAAGCTGTAGAACACTCACCTCAGAGTTTTGCCAGTTTTAACTTTTAAGTGACTCTCCGGAAACCCCTGCGTCTCTGACACATGGAAGAACGCTTGCAAGGACCTGATTCTTGTAAGATATGAATGCAAAATCAGTGGCACAGCTGTGAATGAAAAGATGAAGTCTATGAGGTGTAGGCCCAAATTATTGAATGAAGCAGAGTTTAGCAACAAAGAAACATATGCCGCCTCTGGAGAAAATGTCAGAGGACGTGAGTGCTATAAAGATAGAGACTGCTTACTTTATCTCTGACAATCAGCTACTGTAAAGCCCCCTGTGAACCCGGCATCTGTTATGGCTCGAGAGCCCAAAGGAACATCATTCATTTGGAGCTTCATTTTAGCTGCATCAGCAGCTAAATTGCTTTTAAAAGTCGCTTACTTTCCACGCTGATTTGGGAACAACCGCCGCCAAGTTTCTGTTTCTGTGCATATTATATATGTGGGAAATTTATGACTGATTCCAGACCTTTAAGTGGAGTTGTTCTCCATCTCAAGTTATTGCTTATTCATTGAGCATTGAATTAGGCTAAAGTGTTTGAAATGTTAAAAGTTCCCAAATTCAGTTCTTAATGCTGGTTTTACCTACTTGGCACTAGGAAAATGGGTTATTTGAACTTGTGCCATCATTCTTTAGAGCAAATCAGTAACTTATTTTCATTTGTAAGATTGAAGTTAAACTAGCATACCCTAAAACAACAACAACAAAAAAACATCTGAAATCAAACTAAGCTGGGGTGCGTTTCCCGAAAGCGTCGTTCACCAACTATGGTCGCAAGTTCCGTCGTTACCAATAGAGTTCAATTGAAATTGCGACAAACTTGCGACCATAGTTGGCTAACGATGCTTTCGGGAAACGCAACCCTGGTTTGCTTGAATCTTAAGTTGGTATAAGTGTTTTGATCTTTTTTCTAAATGCATGTAATTGAGATAAAATAATGCTTCATGGAAAATAAAGTGAAGATGACGAATGAATAGCAAGGAAGAAGAACATGAGTATACAAGCAAGAGTTCGTCGTTAGTTGCCAGCAGCACACCAACATTACATAAACAGCAAAAAAAGCTATTTTACTTGATCATACCTAATCATAAACCTTCTTTTTCCATAACCCTTTCTCTTTTGTAATGTCTCTCAGCCATTTCTCTTTCTATAGTCTAAATCTCCCTCTTGCTCACTCTCCCTCTCTCCTGGAGTTCCTAATCTCGCTCTCTCCTGGATTGGCTACAAGTGTGTTGTAGCCAATCCTACTGCT